CAAAAGGCTGATAAACGCTGAAGTCAGGTGATGGGTCACTGAAGTTCATTATTTTATTTTCTCTATTTTTACGCATGTATGAAATTGTCCATTTTAAAAGATTTTTAAAATTCAGCTTTTTTGCTTGCCATCCCATTCCCCTGCCTGAGATCCTGAACCAGGAATGGTGTCCAGGAATGTGAGTTTGATATTTCTGACCAAGGGTGTCCAATATGGGAAATACTGGACTAGAGGATAAAATTATTAATACTAGAAGATGATTAAAACACAGAGAATAAATCAAATTGTTCAAAGATTTTTTTCTACTATTAAGATATTCATCTAACTGACTTTAGAATCATGATACAAGCAACTGTTTAGTCCAGTATATGAAGGGGCATAACATCAAGTAATATCAGAACATATTTCACAAAAAACAATACTAGCCACTACCATTGTCTCTTTTGAGTCAGGAATTTACTAAATCTTCAGATCAGCCGAGGAGTAATTATAAAGGTTAACAATGAGAAGAGTTCTTGAAATATATTTTCCTAGAAAAAAGAATGTACTGTTCTGAGCCATGAATTGGCTTTCTCTATTGATATAGAAGATTAAAGCTGAACAATTACACATTCAATTAATTTTTTATTTTGTTTCATGCTTGGGTGATGATCTGTGATATCAGATTATATTGATATCACTCATATCTAAAGTAATCTATTCACTTAACATATGGCAGGCACTTAAAACTACACAGAGTCCAAGTTAAGTAATAGTCTCACTTTTACAAAGATCTTCTCAAAATGTCTCTCAGTTTATTCTTAAGACGGGAGTTTATAAATATGAAAAATATTTCATGTATTAGTTATAAAAGTAAAATAATGAGACTAGCAAGTTCTATGAATCACTATAAAAATCAATGTCATGGGCCGGCCGAGTGGCGCGATGGTTAAGAACTGGCTTGGGATGCCAGAGGGCCCCGGTTCGGATCCCACATATGAGGGCCAGTGACACTGCCTTCCACAGCTAAGATGCTGAACAACAGCTAAACCTGGAGCTGGGCTGCCGTGAGTTGCTGGCGACGGCGTAGGCTGCAGCCCCTGTGGCAGTGGGTTGCCATGGGCTACTGTGTGTGGCCAGCAGCCAGCGTGAGCGGCCAGCAGCCGCAGTGAGCGGCCGTCCAGAAGCCGGTGACTGATCTGCCTCACCCAGGAAGAGCGCAATGATGGTGCCAACTTGGGCCAGTGAAGCAACGTCCTCCACAACTAGACTGAATAACAAAACGACAGCAACTTGTCTGTTCCCCTTCCCCCAATTCCCCAGCACTGTTCCCATCCCCCCAATTCCCCAATAAAAATCTTAAAAAAAAATCTATGTTATTACTTCATAATTATGTGATATAGAAGATCACAGAACATATAAAAACAGAGCTAAAATAAGGCGGAGAGAAAATAACATATAAAGTACACAGAATAACAAAATATGGGAGGGCAACATGAAAGTGTGGTTAATAGGCTATAGATCCAACAAAAATCAGTCATCTGTTCAATATAAATCCCACCTGGAATCCAAAGAACTACTTGGAGTGCCCCATCAAGACTCTAAACTGCATACAGGTCTATTCATTCTTTCAATTGTAATTTATTAAGCACCTGCTATTTTCCAGGACATGGTGCTCCTGGTTAGCAGGGAACAAATCACAAAATAATTACCGCTTTCAATATGCCACATAGTAGACTATGTCATAGTCTCCATATTTTCATTATTTAACATGTGATTATGCTTCCATTTTAACCTTAATATTACTTTATGTCATATAAATCTATAAAAAATGTAAAATTACATAACTCAGAAGTTTTTAAAGGGTCTCTACTGCTGTCAGCATTTTTGAAGGGAAAAGAAAAAGTTAACTTTTCCATATCACTACACCAACACAATGCAGGAGAATCTATGGAAGTGACAGTGATTTTTATTTCTGAAAATGAAGCAAATAACCATACAATTTAAACTCTGAAGACAATTGCAGGCATAGATTAAACCTGCAGTTCTCAAACACTTTAGTTTCAGGACCCCTGAACAGTCACAAAAATTATTGAGACCCCCAAGGAGTTTTTAGCTTGTGTTAGTAAAATCTCTTGATATTTACCCTTTTACAAATAAAAATTGAAAAAAATTACATATTGATATATTAACTCATTTTAAAACAGCAATAATAAACTCATTACATGCTAACATAAACAACATATTTTATGAGAAATAACTATGTTTTCTAAAACAAAAAAATGTGAAGTATAACTAAAACACTCCGGCTGCATTAACAAAACATGATAGTTGCCTTAAAGAAAAGTGCTTGTGCAGACAGACGCTCAGTAAACTGAATTAGCTGCTTTTTTCATGAAACATCATTTTTACTTGAAAGACTAAATGACAAATTCTAGCGATTTGGACTTGGAACTTAGTAATAAGGAGACATTATTTTACATTTTAAAAAATCTTCATGTCTAGCTTAATAGAAGACAGATTTTCATATTTCCTTTTGCAATCAATTTGTCTGTTGCTATTGTTATTTTGATTGAAGTATATAAAGATATGCAGCCTCATGTAAACATGTAAGTGGAATAGGAGGATTTTAATAGTTTTTTCAGATAGTTGTAGGTATTCTTCCTCGATATTATAACCAATATTTGACAAGCGGTAGTTTCTTAGAGTTTAGTAGCAATGTAGAATCATACTGTAATACCTCATATATCCATTGGTTTATCTTGCATTTTGAATCAATCTTTTACCTATTAATGATTTTGTAACAATATTTACTGGTTATTTGGAAAAATTGGTTCAGTGAGTTATACAGATCTTCCAAACACTAACAGCTTTTTATTATATGAAATGAATAAATCGCACTTGCTAATATCATTATCAATCTTATCTGAGATTAAGTATTGGGAAACAGTCAAGCTCACTGGTAGATTCAAGTGTTCCAAAATTCTAATTTTTGTTTGAAAGTTCAAATTTTTACCACTGACAAGTACTATCAGTTGTTTTCCTCATAGTCACTGGCTCACTTTATACATTTTTGTGAAAATGACTATTAGATACTCAAGTCCAAATAACCAAAGTTAGTCATTCAGTCTTTCAAGTAAAAATTGTGTTCCATGAGAAAAGCAGCTAATTCAGCTCACAACTCAACATATGGACAAGTACTTTTCTTTCAGGTAACTATCATGTTTTGTTAATGCAGCAGAAGTGCTTTATTTATGCATCTCATTTTATGACATGGAATATTATAAAGACAGAGACTCAAGGGTCAAGATTTTATCAAATTAATATTTTGTACTGTTTCATCAAAATTATTCTTAAGTGAAAGTTGCACCTTTTAAACTACAGGCACTTGGAGATAAATAAAACAATGACAGCTGGGACAGTTTGGTGCCACTGCCTTGATACATACAAAGGCACTAGCGGCCAGCAGTTTTGGCAACCATTGCTTTTGCTATATTATGGATTGTCAGAGCAATGCATAAAAATCTTAACATGGAAAATTCTTTGAGGACTGAATATTTAAAGGTACTATCATTATAAGTAAACATATTTCTTTCTTATAGATTTCTATGATAATTTGTCCTCTCTACTCTAGGATATCCTATTTCTAATATAGAAAAAGATCACTATTTGAAGATCTCTTATGATTGTCACCAAACCAAAGAACTAAGGGAGGCAATAAGTCACTCCAGAGAGGAAGGCACCTCAATTTTAGCTACAATGAGACCTATGACCCAAATATTTTTTCCAAGCTCTAATCATTGGTGGTTTTCTTAATCACTTCAATTTACATATACACCCTTCTAAACCTACGAGAATCAACTTGCAAAGAGAAAGACTCTCTTATTCCTTGGCATCCTTTCATGGGCCTTGAGCTGTTGCTGTCGCACAAGACACCTGTGAAGTAGTTTCATGAGATCTCACATTACTGAACAGGAAACCAAGATGATTACGCATCTGTGAAAACTTAGAAAGAACTGATAAGGACAGTAAAATAGCCTAATGAATTAAGCTGGCCAAGAAGGTTGATAAGAAAGGCATTTACACCCAACAGGGAAGAATGTTGTACGTAACCACTTAAATACATTTCATATGTGGGAAAAAAAAAACTCTCAAAAAATCATATTTTAATAGTTTCAATTACAATTATTCACAGACATTTTTAATATATATTATTTCATTTACTAATGTGGTATCCAAATAGTAGCTAAAAAGTAAATTACATGTGGAGTATGATTATACATTCTGTGAAGTGCATTAACTTTAAAGAGAACTGTTGAAGTTTCATTTGCTAACTTGTTATTACTTCTATCAAATCACTAAGCTTCTAATTCAAACTGTGAACTTATAGGAGCAGAAACCTTATAATTTACATTTGCAACCACTGGCTCTAGTATACTTCTGGGCTTAGAGTAGATACTCAAGCAATCTTACCCAATAAAAGCCCACTCCCAAACAAATCCATCAACGATGAATTTTTTAACCCCAAAATTCTCCAAGCTCATTACTTACCTCTGGTATACAAGCTCCTGTGAAACCAAACAAGCCATTGGCATTGTCACTTTTCTGTATTATTAATCTTGCTGTGGTATTCTCTTGAGAAATACGAGCTCCTCCATATACAGAGACTAGTTTAAGGATGAATAACTCTTCTCCTTCCTCTTCATTGTCATCTCTTGCAGAAATAATGAATGATTTGTTAGTTTCTCCCTGTCTGAACTCCAGATACCCAGAAACAGGGTGTAAATCACTCTTTGCTGGCATGGCATGAAGTTCATAAATTTCTTCAAGGGTCAGTTTCCGCTCATAGAACCTCACATCCTGCATCAGACCTGTGAATCTGTCATTGCCATTCATTCCTGCCCCGACTCTCAGTGTTCCAGGACCTGAAATTAGAGATGGGTTTAAATGCTACAATATCCACAACTATCCTGTCCTAAATTATAAGTGTGACTCACCCAGTAAAGCAATTTTATTAGATAAGTAAAGCTTTTGCATAACTAGAATATAATCAAATAAAGGCTATTTCTGTTATGATGAAAAATGAATCAGTAATCACTGGGATTTAAGATATTTTGTACTAAAGTATACTATGCACGTGTGTGTGTGTGTGTGTGTGTGTGTGTGTGTATTTGGATAGACATTTCTTCCAAAAAATTTTAAAATTTCCTTGCACATCCAAGAATGGAATATTCAATTCAGTCACAACTTTAAATCTTTAGTATTTACTATTTTTTGAAAACTTCAAGGCTTGGTCAGTTAAAAATTCATCCTGAGTTAAATAAAGTTGTGAAAATTCAACAAAACAAGTTTTGTGGACCCAATATAACTCTTTATTCAAAAAACGAATGCAATGGATTCTAATGAAGTATTCTTTTTTCTTCCCAGGAACAACATTCTATGCGAAATCTTAGGGACTTTTACATGGTAATAACAACATGCAGCCCAACTGCATTACTATATATTAATAATCCCTTTTCAGGAATTCACCAATTTTTATTTCTTTACTTATTCCCTCTCCAGTAACTCAACTAACATACTTTAGTAAGATGAGAGCTTGGCAGTGGTTTGGGGAAAATGTACAAGTAATATTTCTTATCAATATCATCAATCAAGGCAGTTTTACAAGTCACTACCCAGATAGTCACAAGTATCCTGCACATTATGTCACAATTGTCCAATGTCTTCTCCAGTGGTTCTGGGCTGACTATGTAGTAATGAGAGCAAAATATCTACAACAGGCAAAAATATAAATGAACCTCATAAAAAATAGTGAGCAAAACAAGACAGACACTCAAGTGTACACACTGCTCTATTTACATAAATTTAACAAACAGGAAAAGCTACTCTTATGCTCTTAGAAATGGCAATAGTCAGTGAGCAAGAGAGTGAATGAGTGACTGGAGAAGAGTCAAAAAGGGCTTCTTAATCTGGGGACTATTGCATGGGTGCTAAAACTGATTAAAGTATTTAAAAATTCATCTACCTGTATTTCATTAATAACTTTAAAATATGTATATATATATATATATATATATTCAATTTTCTTTCCAAGATACAAATTACAAAGACAATATAAGTTCCTTGCAGTAAGCTAAACAGAGAAAAGAGAAACCAGCTCTCACTTCCTCCAATCTCCCATTCTCATTCTACCACCATGTTATCACCAGAGGAATCAATGTTAATGATATATGTATATATTCACACAATCAATCGGTGAATAATTTACACCACTGAGTGCTGTAAGCACAAGTGTTGGTGTTGAAATCTATAGTGTATGCATGTTTTTTCTCTTGTCCATCTTTTTCCCCTCTAGGAAAAAAAATATACAACCAGATATCTAATGCAGGAGGTTCAGAAGGAAAATATTCTATTAAGCTATAACCATATAAGCTCTGCTCTACCTCCTTACTAAATAAAAACCTCTGCTCTACTTCCTTACTAAATAAAAACCAGAGTCAAATGATAAAACGGAGGGGCTGGGAGGAAATCGGTGATTATATTGGAGATAACCAATATTTGTACGTAAACATGTAAAAGTGTTTCCCAAGGAAACAGCACAGGATCCAGCTCAAAGACAACAAAGATTATCTCTTCAGAGCACTCCATGGAATTCACCAATTTACCTCCTGACATTTCCACCACTGTAATTGCTGCTTTTTTTAAATGTAATATTTCTCTTCTGATTCCTCTTTAACCTTATCCCCAACACCCTCCACCCTCCAGCAATACTGAGCTAGCAGCAGTTCTCCAGACACAATATGCTGCTTCACATTTCTACACCTTTGCTCTTTTCTCTATCTGAAATATCATGCCCCACTCCTGCTACATCACGAGGAATAAATGTTCCTTCTTCATGATTTTTTTCTTTCTTACTAAAACATACTGAAGCAATCTGTTTGCATCTTTCTCCCAGAGCCTATGTCAGGTACCTCAAGGGCTAAGACTTTGCCTGATTCACATCTATAACACTCAACACAGAACTTATGGTCTTGGTAGGCACATAGTTTTAAAGAAATTAAACCAACACCCAAGCAGATTTTTTAAACCTGTTAGTCTTATAAAGAAGTCAAGTTTTTTAAAATTCCAAATTCAGTGTCTTAGGTATAAAGATTATATTTACCATCAGTAATGGCTTCTCCTTTCAGGCTCCTGATTCCTCTGGGCATTGCATGCCCATCAAGGTAGAATTCAATTATACCATCATCCAGGATAATTAGAAGATGAAGCCAAATATTTTCTTCTAAATATTTCGTGATTGTTGTCTTGGCAATATAGGTAGTGTTGGAACCCAAAGTTTTGTAATGAAGGGAAAGTGTCACGTGGGATTCATTTGTTTGAATTTGTACCCCATAATAGATGCTTCCATTACCATCATCTTTTGCTATAACAAATCCATTTGTATTGGCATTGGGTATTACCCAAGCTGAAAATGTAAAGTTGGCAATTGAGTTGTTCTTGGAGGGATGGTATTTTGGATTCACAGTTCCAAATGCACCCTCCAGTCCACTGAAGTACAAAGCATCTGTTCCACTATGGTGACGCCGCATGTGCGGTTGTAAATGCACAGTGCTGGGGAAAACCCCAACCAATAAAAAATCTATCATTGGAGGCAAACCAGCAGTGAAGTCACTAGACAGTATTTCCCAGCCTACACGTACATCTCCAAAGACACCCTGCTGCCTCAGAATGGTAAAGTTGGTGATATAAGACATATCATCTTCTGAGAGAACATCTTCTGCCACTTCTCTCTCTAAGCACTCTGGATCCAAAAGGAAAACTCCAAAGGGATCATCATTGAAGGAAATCATTACTGTCACCTGGAGATTGGTTCCTGCTAGTTGGCCCCCAAAACCAGGAGACCCACCTATAATAAGAAAATTTACAATGAATAAGAAATCAAAATTTGAAGGACTTTCTAGTTTAAGGTGAAGACAAAAAGAATTTGTTTAGCAAGCTTCCGCTTAAATAATTTATTCATTCATCAATGAACTACAGGGTCACCATATGGTTCTTACCACATTTTCAAGGGTATTCTGCTTCAGCATAATTTCATTAATAACCAGTCAAGCCTGAAAAGTATATATTAGCTGGAGAGGTTTAATTCTTGTGCTTAAAGCTAAAAGTAATGGGAAAATTGATTGTTTCAATTATGGCACAAAGACCAATCTTAAGCCATCATGAATCCTTACTTCCTAACTTCCATTAATGTTTTGTTGGAGATACTATATTTGGGTGGGAGAAAAAAATCTATTTACAAGTTTGAGGCTGGACATAAGTCTCCATCCATCAAATTTAACCAAGCTAAGACCACAAAATGAACGTTAAAAATAACACTTCTATTAAAAAGGGTATTTTGACATTTAAAGTCAGACAATCAAGATACACTTACTTCTTCATTAATTGTATTTTCTTTAAGTTTCTAATTATTTAAATGCAAAATACTAAATTCTAGTAGTAAAATAAAATAGATGGGAAAACACAGCACCTGAAATATTTACAAGCTTTAAAATATAAAACTCATTGAATTCAGGAATTTTATCTGGAAAAGCATAGAGAATTATTGGTTTGGCTCCTTCTCCATCCATAAAGTTTACAGTCCCTGAAGTTTCATAGAACTCTTGTCCAGGTTGCAAAGCAGAATCATTCTGAAACAGCTGCCAAGCCACAGAAACATTGCCAAAATGTCCTCGGTGCCTCAAAATCCTACATAACAAATTAAAAGAAATTTATGAAAAATTTATAGGTAGTGAAACTAAATCTAATGAGAACTTTTTGTGTTATCACAAACATACTTTTTCTATTTATCATCTTCTTTAATATAAACCAGCCAGCCAGTCCTTACTGAAAAACAATGAAGACTCTCTTGGAAAGGGAAGATGTAGAACTTTAAATAATAAAGAGAAGCAGTCTTAAAAGTCAGTCTTCAAAGCCCAAAATGAAAGATAAAGTCTAAGCCCAATAAAAAAATATTTAGATGTGAACTGGCAAGTGTTCTTCAAAGGCCAAGTACAGGGTGAGGATAGTCACATATCATTTGAGAGAAGAGTTCCAGAAGACCTTGGATAGTCGAGACTCTCAACCCTGACAAAGGATGGAAGTTGGGGTGAGGAGAATAATTTTTGCTTACCAGCTAAAGTGTCACTTTTTTATTTTTTTTTATAAATGGCAACAGTATAAAAGAAAAGGTTACAATTCTTTCAGACTACCAACATTGAAATTATTCAATTCTTAGGCAATTTTTTTTTTCATTTTGGAAGATCAATATGTCTAACTTTTATATAAAGATTTTATTTTATTTTATTCAGTTTGGATTTGCCTTATACAAATATGCTTACCAAAATGCATTAGTCTTTCCTTCTTCTACTGCTTTGTCTATGGGCTCCAAAGAAAAAATACCATTTGGGTCATCATTTGTTTCAATGATCACTGTAGCTATTCCATACCGATACACTACTGTATCACCTAAATTAAAAATGGAAAAGTCAAAATAAGAAAAACTAGTTAACCTCCTGTTAAATTTATATTTTTAAATAAGAAACAGTTTATGATAAACTGCAAAGTTCAGCAGGAATTTCCTTAGTGAAGGTCATAAATAAACGAGAGAGATGCCTACATAAGATTAATGTGACTTGTCTTTGAGGAAATGTTTAATTACAGAACTATTTTATTGAAAAACATAGAAGATACTTTTCTTCACAAGAATAATCACTTCAATAGTTTAATTAGAGATATAAAATAACACAGCTTTATCTAATTCCAACTTTTTGAGGTAGATTCTTTTATAAAAAATAAAGAAAAGATCATCCCCATAAGAACAATACTCCAGTCCATGTTCATTGGAAGCACTGGCTTGAGCATTTCCTTTTAGATCTCTTCCTCAGGGCAACAGTATCATCTGGTCATACCTAGAACAAAGCAATCTTTATGGTGTTGAACTTGATTGACCTCTACTCCAATTCTTTCCACAGCGTGTTTGCACCATTATTGCCAATACATTGTGTCTGTTCTCATCACTTCTCTGAGATCCATAGCTCTTCCTCTTCGCTCCACCTGTTCCCTATACGAGCAAAAGTCCTCCCCATCTTTATTCACCAAACTCTTATCAAATCTCAGGACACAGCTCAAGCAACAACTCTTCCAGGAATTCTTCCTTGAATTCCCAAGTTAAGTGTGTCTCCACTGTGTTGCTACAGTGCTTCACATTATGTCAATATATCGTAACACTTATTGCATCATATTAATATACACACATGTGCATACACATGTATACACACACACACACACACACACACACACACACACACAGTTTCACTGTAAGTTCCTTGGACACATGCTTTTCAATCAATTCCATGCCCTAGCAGAGTAAATGATCAGTAATTAGTACACAGAACTCATTTATGAATGTTACCTGAACTGATACAAATAAAATTTTCAAAATTAGATGAGGACAACACCTAAAACTAAAAGTATAGAAACAGAAGCTATATGTAGAGCATAGCAGCACATGAAACATAATTTATATAAATATACAATTTTGCTATGCAACATGGCACAGGTGGCGCTAAAAAGTCATTTCTGTTTCTCCACAGGGAGAACTGCAAATATTTAACAAGGGCTATAAGGATGGCCAAATCCTTTGATCCAATAATTCAATCTCAGGGCATATACTGTGAACAATAACTATCAGCCATAAATACCCACTTCCAGCACTTAGGCCATGTTAGAGATTCTGCCCCTCCAGCTCTCCCATCATCCGTCCTCTCAGGCTTTCAATGTTTTGACATTATAAAAGAGGAAAGAAAAGAAGAAGAGAAAGAACTAAGAAAGGATGTAAAAAACACAAATTCTAGAGACCAAGTCTTCAGAGCTAAAGTCATTAGATCCTCAGATGTCTCCATTTTTGGAAAAATAATGAAGGCAAATGCAGCGGCAGTTATATACATACATACCTCAGGCCAGGTGCTCAGTCACAGCTTTACGTATGCTCACTCACTCACTCTCTGTCTCTCATTCTCTCTTAAAATAAAAAGTATATTTCCCCAATAATACCTCTTACAAAATACACTCACCCGCTCCTTGCAAAGTCATTTTTCATTCACTTTACAAGAGGTTCAGCATGTTTTGATTCACTATTTCAATCATAGTGACATTTTGTTTCTGACAACAGTTTAACTCCATTGACATTTTCACCTCAGAGATGTTTGGGACATAGTGATTTTCACCAGAATTACACCAAATTAATAAATGGCATCAAGGACTTATTTCTATAGTCAACTCTATTAAGACGTCATTTCTTCATCAACTTGTCTCACAGCAAAACTTTGTTCTCCACTTTTATTTCACCCAAATTATTTTTCTCAGTAGCAATTTCTTTCATTTAAATTTTAGATCAATGATTGGAATCACCAAAATGTTTTTGGCTATGTAAGATCTGACTAATTATGGTTTTTGCAACTGTGGAATTTCTTTTATGGCCATTATTCTACAAGCTCAAAATTTTTCGCACCAGATAATATTTTTTACTTTTACTTTTTAAAATTTTCTTTAGTAATTCACGTGAAAAATGTGAAAGAGAGGAGGAAGACTAGGAAGGGAGCCACTAATGGAGAGAGACAAAGAGGTAGGGAGAATGATACAGGAACACAGCACAAACAAAAATTAAGTGATTGCTTTTTTTCCTCTTCCTCTCTGAATATGTCAGTCCAAAAGGCACAGGTAGGCTACAAGGCAGTCATTCACAATGGGTTGGGGGAATAGGAGACAGGAAATCACAGTGACCAGCACAAGGTGTAAGAGCTCATGCAGGGTAAGTTGGGCATCTCCATAGGAGAAAAGTTGCTGTTGGATGGTGGGGTTTGAGTGGAGTGGGAGGGCATGGCGGAAGGGGTTTGGCTTACAGCAGGAAGCTAGAACCCTAGTGGGGTAAGAAAGGTAATATCATTGTGGGAAGAGGGTAAAAGAAGCAATGGGAAAGTGGTTACATACAGGGAGAATTGATCAAATAACTAAATATAAATAAAGCTAATGAAGCTGTACTTCTCACTTTCAGATAAGGGAGGGAAAATTTAGAAAGGGAAACAGCTAGAATGAACCCTGTGATATTGGACAGAAATGGGAGATAATGGTATGAACTAATGGTTTTAAATATAAATAGTTGAATATATTACCATGTTTGCCTGAAAATAAGACCTAACTGGAAAATAAGCCCTAGCATGATTTTCATGGTGCTCATAATATAAGCCCTACACCAAAATAAGCCCCAGTTAAGATCATCAGCCAGACGTGACTGTATTTGAATAAATGTAGATTTTTGTACATGAATAAAAGAATAAAATGCATCTTTTGAAGCAAAAATAAATACAAAACCCAGTCTTATTTTTGGGGAAACATGGTATAGAACTAGAAATGTAGAAGAGTGTGTGTGTGTATGTGTGTGTATACATAAAAACATAATACATACATACATTCCCTGTCTCTGTGCATTAAGAGAACATGGGAGGAGCATAACCACAATAATAAGCACACCTAGTACCCAGATCCTAGTTTCTAAATAGCCTTCACTAAACAACCAGGGTCCCTTTGGACAACTGGTTGATTTCAGGGTAATGATAAGAAAAGTATGAGTTTGGAACAGCTTGCTTTGCCAGAAATAGGAGGACATGTCAAAAAGACAAAGAAGTCATCTCAAACAGGCTACTACTGGCCAAATATGAGACAATTTGACAGTCAAAACAAATAAGTATAGCAAAATAAAACCCACTGCATTAAACAGAAATTGTGAGCCCATAATGATAAACATATCCATGAAAAAACTGAAAGTTTGATGAATAACAGAGTAATTACATAGTTTTAAAGTATCTTCCCGATAAAATATCTACAAATTACAAAGGAAAAAAAGTATAGTATAGAAGGCTGGCCATCACCACCTAAATTGTGGTCAAAATGAACATAACAGTAAAGAGACAAAACAAAATCATGTTGACAACTGAAGGGCTATAAGAGCACAGAATTACCTTTTACAAAATTCCTGCCAAGGATGAAAAACCTGAATTTAATAATGAGGAAACATTGAACAAACCCAAAATGAGGGACATTTTTACAAAATAAGTTGCCTATAATCTTCTATATTATAAAGATCATGAAAAATAAAAAAAAAAGTAAGGAACTAGTCCACATTGAAGAGATTAAAGAGATATCACAACTAAGTGCAATGTATCATTTAGGAAAGGATCATTTTGCTAGAAAGGACATAATTAAGACAACTGGAGAAATGTAAATGGGGTCTGAGGCAATGATTTTATTAATGTTAACTTCTTGATTTTAATGGTTCTACCATGGTTATGTAGGAAAAAATCCTCATTTGTAGGAAAAACACCATAATGTCATCAGGGGTGAAGAAGTATCATGTCTTCAACTTACTCTCAAAGGTTCAGGAAAAAGATAGAGCTCTCTGTACACTTAAAATAATCAAATAAATATCAAAAGAAGTTAAAGCCCCTGCAATTTACTACAGGTGGGGTCAAAAAGTTCTCAAAGCCTAAATACTGGGGTCAAAACATTCCTGCTTTATAGTAAGGAGAAGAAAGAAGTGCCTATCTTTCCCCTTTACAAATTTTCATTCATTGTAGCTAATAGCTCCAGAGAATTATCAAACAGCTAGGTGGGTTCAGCCACCTACAGAATGCAACTTCCCAACCAGCATGCCCAGCACCCTGCTAGGAGGGCAATGGGTTACAGAAGCCTTGATGCCCTAAGCCACTAGGTGACTAGACAAGGCTTAGCATAGTTTTAGCTAGATTTTTATTCCTTATATAATATCATAATTTTTCTATGTATGTTATATTGTGAAAAAGATTAAAAATAATGCCAATGGAGTATACCAAGTTCATGAAGGTTCAACACATTTATTTTTTACCCCACCCCTCAAGAAAGCAATGAAACACTTTTGCTCTTTAACAGTCCCAGATGATGGTTAAGTACCACTTGGCACCTCTACTAGAGAGTAGTACTTTATGTCGTCTTAATAAAAGCGCTGAAACAACAGACATGCCATAAAAATACAAGTTATTTACCTGTTGAATTAAAGAGGATTATATAAAAGTGTTCATCTGTTTCTGGGATATCATCTTCATTAATGAATACAGATATTCTCTGCTCTCTACTTCCGACCGCAAAAACAAGCATTTTTCCTTTTTCAACAGGAAGAAAGTCTCCCTCTCTTGCGGTAGCCTTCCCATCCATGGTAGCATATTGGACGGTGCAAGCAACATCAACAGATCCATTTCTGAGAACTGTAAAGTCAGCAGTCTCACCTTCCTGAACCCTCACTACATGAGGCTCTGAAATATTCATAAAGAAAAGAAGGAACATCTAAGCTTTTCTGCTTCCAACTAGATATTTTCAGATCACTTTATGTTTCTCCCTGCCCCCACAAAAAATGCCCTCTGCTGTGTCTTTCCTTCATGATTCAGTTCTGGTCCCAACTCCTACATTAGGCCTCCTCTGATTACTTCTAGTCAATGTCTTTCCTCTTGTCGAAATTTCTACAGAAATCATTGTCTTCAGCACCCAATTCGTCAGTAAACCACATACATGGAAAAATGTTCGTTTTTACACAAAGAAAATACCCTAGGATTTGAAGGTGGGGGGAGAACAAAGCTAATAAAACACTTTGTGTTTTCCTTCAGATCTTTCAAAATATTTGTTAAAATGTCAAAAAGATCAAGTAACGGTCATCCAAACAAATCATGAAGTCATATTTAAACAAGCATCAATTGTGCTTTTCAAAAATGTTCAGTTAAAAAAAACACACATATATTTTGTTTAAGAAAAATGTAAACTCAAATAAAATAGCAATACCACCTGCAAAATAAATGGGGTCATCATTTCTTCTAATCCTCAGAGTTGCAGTAGTCTTATTTCCTATTTTAGTTCCTCCAGTGGCATTAAGTAGGGTAATGGTAAATTCCTCCATTTCCTCTGGAATCTTTTGGAAAATATTGTACATGTTTTAAATCAGATGATTTACACAAATAATTCCATTATGTACTACTAAATTATTTTTATCTTTTATAAAAAAATTGTCCTAGTCATAATAGTACTAATGTTCATTTCCATTTCTGAGGCAGAACCACCCTAAATTATTCAAGTAGGGCTTAGATCCCCCCAAAATTTTAATGTGCATTCATCCAAACAGCCACTTTATTTTGACTCACTATAAAATTAAACCTAAATAGATATTTTGCCTTATGTAAGCTAAAAATATAAATACCAGTCATATTATTTCTTTATGAAAATGAGATATATGCTGTTTACAAGCAAAAATTTAAAAAAAATTTAACTTTTTGACATATTTAGAGCTGAGTTCATAATAGTAGCAAAAGCTCAGCTAGCTCTCAAATGCCACTTAAAAACATTACTGAAGTTTCACCCCAGTGTATCATAAAGACCTCATTCCCGTGTCCTAAGAAGATAAGATTCCTCCCCGCATATCTGAGCCTATGGGGATCCCCAGGTGGACACTGTTTCTCTTTCATTTCATCTACATGAGCTGGTCTTCTCCGCATCCTAAAATGGAAGAGTATTGGAATTTTGTCTCTTGAGGCACAAGTTTGAAGGAAAGGAGACAGGCTTCCATACATATTAGAAGCACAGTTCCCCTCAGAAAGGTCCACTCCCTCTGTTACTGAGTTCTTCCTCTTCATTAGCACTAAGATGAGCACCACGTTGAATTCATGACTCATCTGGTCCAAGACCCTGATTCTGAGAGTGTATCATACACGTAGGATACTTGGTAGAGGGCACCCTTGTTTTCAAAGGGCCTAAGCATAAGGCAAGCACTTCACCTCTCTCTCAACTGAATCCCTGATATTTGACACCTATGAAGTGTTACTGGTCACTCTCAGTTCTAAGAGTTGAAAATGCCTTCAGAAAAACTAAAAATTTCTCTTTTGTCTTTTAGTCAGACAGTATCATACCTGAGTCTTTTATCAATATATGCACAACAAAATACATTTCCAGATGTTTAATTATTTAATAAAAAATAATTAAGCAATGACAACAAGCAAAGAGTTATATATGTAACATTTACCTCATCTGGAAGGGAGTAAATGGTGATATTTTTTGAAAATTCCTGATCTCCAAAGAAAATAGTTCCTTGGATGGGAAACACATCTTGTGTCAAGTCTGGACTAACCACCCATGATACACTAACATCACCAAAGTTGCCTCGATTTCTTATTATACCATAAACAGCTGTGAAATACAAATGGTATAATACACATATGAATATATATTAAACAATTTCAAAATAAGTAAAGAAATTGCTCAAACAAGGAAAAGTAAAAAAATAAGACCTCCTTTTAATAAAAAAAAACAAATATTTGCTTAGCACAGCCTCCAAGGTACATACAAAAATGCATTAGCCTAGTCCTCCTTCTGTAGACATACAATTGATAAAAATAAACGGACTTGATTTTTCTATCACAGGTTGGGATTTTAAAAGTCACTCAGCACAGAGAACAGAATGACTAACTAGGTACACCTATCACAAAGTCCTATAAAGATATTTGCTAAAGGCAGCTAGAGGAAGCTGCATGCTCAAAAGTGATTTTCTTACCCAAAGAGAGATTCCTCTAAAAATAAACTACTTCTCATTTCAGGCCACTGCAATAGTTGCGTAGCAGTAACTCTTTGTTTTAAAGTTTTTCCTATTTGACACAATTCATTTTAGAGTGTTTGAATCCCATAGCATATGGTTAATTAAAATCAACATAGAAATGATGTCGCCACTATCAGCACTATACTATGTAAGAAATAAAAGTAACAAACTAAATAAGATTTTTTTTAAAACACCAATTTCTGAACTACATGTAATTTCCAAGACAGGTGGACAACTAAAAATAACTGCTTGCTAAAGAATTTTAAAATGATTAATTTTGTCTTCAGTAAACAGTAATAGAATATAAGAAGCAAAATAAATTACCACTATAGGTATCGTCTCCTTTACTTTCATTTATCGTAACAATTAGACCATCAGGAACAAATTCTATAATCCCATGAGGATCATCATTGTTTAGAATCGTTATATTGACAACGGTAGCACTTCCCAGTTTGCTCTCCCGTTCACCATGGCTGCTGAGGACTACCCAATAGCGTTCATCCAACTAAAATGAACATGCCAAATTAGGAAAAATACAAAGCAAGGAAAATATATATATTCAAGAATATTAATAAAATTTTTCAGAAACACATAACTTAAAGATAAAAGAGCTGAATTATTCCTTAATTTTTTTAATATTCTCCTGTCAATTAAGAGAGACACCAGAAATAAGTACACATTATGCAAAAAGGGAAAAGATAAACCATGACATTACTCTCAATAGTAAGAAGATTGGACCTTACCACTGATGATCTAGTCATTTAAACTAATGTGGGTAAATAAAATAAAATGTAAAATCCATATATACACTAGTGTGTAAACATAATGGAATTATGCCTTGTTCCATTAATATAAACCTTAAATTTATTGTCTTTAAAAAAGCAATTTGAAGAAAAACTTTCTCAGTTCAAAACCATATCATTAAAAGTTCAGTCAATGCAGATTACATGGAATAAGGCTTAACAGAGCTAAAAGGAGATGAAAGCTGATCACACACTGAAAATTTCATATTGTTTGGTATTTTTTTATGTAGGGAAAACATACACCATTCGAATTTAAATATCTTACTTTGTTTTTTACGCTTGCTTTTTCCTTTTCCAACCGCAAGCACTATTCAATCCATTCTTGCCCACTACCTTTCCTGTGTCTCCTTGCCAATGTTCAACAAATTTATATTTATAATATACTAGATGCTATTAACTTTCCAAAAGCACAAGGAAGAAATAAAATCTCATACCTCTGGTATCCTATCCAATCTTGTTAGCAAGGTGATTATGATCTCTCTTTCCCCAGGTTTAAATTCTAATACCCCTGTGTTTCCATAGAATTCATTGCTGTCTCTTGGCTCTACCCAGTAGCGTAGAAACTGCTTAACTAGAGCTCCCCTGGATCGAATGATGTGGAGCTCTACAGAATCTCCTTCCTTAAAAAAACAACAACAACACACACACACATATACACACAAGTTCAAATCCTTTAAGATTCTCCTGAAGTTGTGAGTATAGTATAAATTGAAGTTTCTTTCAACTTACATTTATAAGATACGGTCCTCTGGAAGCAGGAGAAAATTCAAAAATTCCCCCAGGATCATCATTTTCCAAAATAATTAGATCACAGCTGGTATAGCCAGATTTCAGCACTTGATTTTCCACACTGACCCTGGAGAAGTCAGAGGGGGAAAAGGCACCCGCTACCTATAGCTTACTTCTGAATTTTGCAGGCTTCTCAGGCAATATTTCCAACACATTTATATAATGACTATGAATGTTATTAGGAGTTAAACCTTAAATTGAATTTAAGTGTACTAAAATCACTGAAGATCAAAACAGTTTTACTCAAATGTTTATGGAAGAACTTCTATTTCTGAATCCATTATATCCTTTACATTTGAAACCAAACACTGCATATATATACAGAATACAAGAATACAGTAAACAAAGGTTGTAAATACATTTTAGTTTTATAAAGTACCAAATTTAGATTCATTTCCAGTTTTAGAAAAATCTAATTTGTAACACACACTTAGAAAATATTTTTAACTAAAATTGTTTTAATTTTACATACGCTTGAATTTTAAAAATACGCATTATATAAGATTATACTAACTGAATAAAAGTTGGATAACTATGTGGGTTAAAGCCACACTAATCAAAAATAAAACTGTTTAGATTTTAGAAATGTTTTGTGACCTTTCGTATGTTTCTATTCACCTCAATTTTATCCTCTTGCACTTTTTTAATTATAAAAGAAAATGTGGGACATATAAAAACGGAAGAGAATGGATCTCATATGCATGACATGTTATAACAATTCCTATACATATCTTACAACAACATATTAAAACAAAGTTTTGTTTGTTTGTTCCTGGTTTTTATGTTCAGTGTATAATTAGAATGATCAAAGAGAATGGAACTACAGGCTCTGAGGGTTTAAAAGCATGTATGTTCCTTGAGCATTCTTAATCCTGCAAGCTGCTCTAAACCTTCCCAAATGTCAGTTTCTATTGAACCAAAAAAGTACTCATGATCAGACCTCAAAATCACAATGAAGCCACAATTAATATGTAGCTCACTCCTTATGTAATAGAGAATCAGAATTAACATCCACCCCTAGCTTTTGGAAACCTGGCAACCAATACCTAGCATACTAGTGGCCACAGAAGGATTAGTCCAAATAACAGTACAGTTATTTGTTACATTGTTAATGCAGTCATGTGATTTTCATAGTAAATTCGCCTGTATTTCATTTACATCAGTATTTTTATTAATTAAAAATGCCTATGTCCACATAAGCTAGGAGACAAAAAAACTGGATCAGAATATAAAATATAAAAATCCATTCTGAGCATGAAACAAATTTATTCTTATACTTTCTTAAAATATGCTACCCTTATGTAAAAATGTAAAAAAAAAATTAAAAGTTTTTTATACAACTGAGAAAATGTAGGCAGAAATTACTTGGATGCAAACCAACGGAAGAGATGAGAGTTTTGATCATGAATTCTCTGTTAAACAAACTACAAGAGTCACAGAGATGTTAAGAATTTCACAAGCAAAGCAATAATCGTTCCCTATTGTTATGTGTAAACTCTAAGGAAAGTTAAAATTTTAAATGCTTCAAAATACATAAATATATTCATTCTCAACTTTTTATCAGATATCTTAAATGCATTCACAATTTAAAACTCTTAGGGAAAAAAAATCCATATACGCAACCACTTGTTATTAAAAAAAAAAAAAAGAAACTACACACAAATCATGCACAGGCAGGTTGACAAGCAAAGCTTCTCAACATCTATGGTCATGCAGATGGCAGCTGTATCCAAAATAATGGCTTGTAAAAAAATGTTGAATCATCAAAAACAAGGCATTTATTTTGTACACTTACCCAAAATACACGACAAACCTTTCGGTTTCTACTCTGTCAACACACAAAGAAGCATGACGGAGGAAAAAGGAGACAAAGACAAATTTGCCAAAATCTCACTAATACTGCTAGAAACTTAGAATGGAAGGGTAAAAATAAAGGTAAAGAAAGCCTTTCTCCACCCCCTCCACCTCCGCCTCGCCACAAGCCAGTAATATCCACCTTATTGGAACTCTGCACACGGGGTTCTTTGCTATTGACAAATGCTAGCAAGAAGTTCGGCACGTCCCACTTAGAGAGGATGACCCCATGGCCAGCCAGCATGCAAGACCCATTGACGACATTCCTTTCCAGGCCTGCTCCAAGGCGCTGGGGCCTGCCAATCACTGCACACTCACAAAACCACAGCAGCTGAGCAAATTTCATTCAGCTTGACTTATAATTACTGAGTAGCTTTAATTAGGTTAAAAAAAATCCATCTTGAGATCTAAAGCCAATTGTACTTTGAAAAAATAAAAACTCTATGAGCAGAGAAAAATATACCTTTCATCATGTGCACAGGAATATACTCAAGAAGCCATTTCATTATATCTTTTAATTATGACAAATATTACTTAAACATATGTGTAACTTTATATCAGAAAATCTAAATACTTTTCCAAGTCCCCAGTACAATGCATTTTCAAACAGCAGTGATAAACACATGTCAAAATATACAGACCTATTGCTTCATTTTTAAAGTCAAATGACACTATCCATAAATAAGGGGTTATATAACACATATATCAATTTTTTTCTGGCATAATGAAATTATTGCTGATTTGGGAAAATCTAAACAATACAATATTTTTAACTAGTATGGTATTAAAAGCATTAAAATTGTTCAATACCAGGGCAATTTTATCTCTATTTAGTTGAAATATTGAGAATTTGCATTCAAATTTGACAATAAAACTGTAAACTGTATCAAAGTGTTAATTATTTTTGTTGCAATATTATATTGTAATCACATTAGCGTTCATTCATTCTTTCATTTTAGTTTTGTTAAAAATTTGCAAACTTGAGATGTAGATTTTGATAAAATATTTTACTTCAAATCATAGATTTTATTCTCACCTTTAACTAAATATAAATATACTTTAGAACATTCAAATGTAATTTGCTCATTCTTCTTCATGCATAATTAATACAAGTATGTACTAGTTACTAATTTCATTAAAACATTTTAGTATAAATTTGAACTAATATCTTCTGTTTGAAAAAAACTACTTACAATTATACTTAATTAATTTCAAAAGTTTACATGGTAAGGTTAAAATGACTATTTTAAAAGAATATGAAGAATAGTCACTATGAACTTGCAGAGGTATAATTTAAATCATTCTCCAAACATTTAGTTCATAGCAGAAACTCTCAGCTGAGCTAATAGTTTCTATAGATTATTACACCTTTAGTTTATATTTGCTTTTCATTTCTTTCTTTTTTTTTAGATTGTGCAATGAGCTAATAAGTACTCAAACTTAAAGAAAAAAAAGCACATAAGTGAAAAAAATAATAATTTTCAGTTTATATTTCATTACATTTCACTGATTTTTTTTCATCATATGAAATACTTTTCCTTAAGAAATAATACATATATTATTTAAATCATATAATATATATTAAAACCATAATTCATTTAGATAACATGGGTTGCATATGGTTTTTGCTTGTTTGCTTTGTTTTTGTTTTACTTTTTATATAAAAAAGTAAGCATAATGTGGTTCTGAAAGCAAAGAAAATGAACAGTGGACATTCAATAGATTTGTTTCCTACATTCTGTATTTTTCTTTCGCATAAAAATAAAAAACAACTACTCATCAGGTTTATGAAATGTGTTTACACAAAACACCTACAAAGAAAAACTTACAAGGGGCTAATAGTGAAATATATAGCGAGGCCAGAGGTTATAAAAATAATTACTACTATAGTCTTGATTAATACAGTACAAAATAACATCTATTAATTTTATCTGTGAATTTACTGTTTCTAAAATATGAATTTTGCAAAGCTCTCAAGTCACACTAACTTTAATGTTATCAACTTTAATATAAAGAGACCTGTAGTAAATAAGCCTCATTATGATTTAAAAAAATATAACATCATTTGAACAGTATTTTTTTCATTTTTAAACAGGATTTTATGCATTACTGAAAAAAAAATCTCTCGATAGATTGTGATATTTTCTTAATATAAATTACCCATTGAGAAAAGTTAAGGAAATCCTTATTATTTCTGGAAAAAAAAACCACTTGCATTGTATTATTTTTTATTGTTTGGAAAATAAGTATTACTAAAGGTTTAAATTCCATAAAAAAAGAGGATTTCATTATATTCACACTTTCTTTTTATTCACTCGAAAAGACATACTCCTCTCCTGTTGAAAATAAAGCCAGCAGAGCAGTTTGCTTAACCTAACATTTTAGATTTGTTGCTGCCTACTTTTTTTTTTTAGCTGAGCCATCCTGCCGCCCTTTGTCAGCTTAGCGGCAGCTCAGCTCGGGCCGGGCATCGAACTGCTGTTGCTCAGAGCTCAAACCCTTAAGCGAGCTCTTAACCAACTGAGCCACTGGGCAGGCCCTGCCTACTTTTTTAATATAGCAACATATCAGCTATGCTTAAGGTTTATCTGAAAGCTTCCATACATTCCCTATGAAATGTTTCCACACAATGAATAGCAGGATAAAAGTTCACAATCTCTTATTACTCGTAGTAGACCAGAAGCCATCAACAAACAACAGAAAAGTCAGAAGGCCAGCATAACATTATCTTAGCTTTTTGTTTTTACTTGATAAGAAGAACTAAAACAAAAAACAAAATTATTTCAGAGAACTCAAACATCTAAATGTTACTAAGCATTACCTAAATGGGTTATTACCTGTCTAGAGAAAGTGTTACCACCTCATTCATTTCCGGTATGTCATCAGCTTTGATAGTAATGTTGATTGTTGTATCACTTTGCCCAGATAAAAATACAACAGAGCCATTAAAGGGACCTATATCGTCCTGGGTCACTGCTTTTGAATTAAAGCCTGAGGGCTTCAAACTCCAATAGACAGAAGCCTGGCCATCAGTTCCATCCCGATGTAAGGGAATGTATACCTTATAAAAAGAAAAACAAAAACAAAAACAGAACAATGTCTTCTGAAATATACACAGTTATGTAAGCTCTTCAGTGATTGAGCTCACATTTCATGATATGAATATATGTACTTTGCATAGAAAGGTGAACCATTAAATGATATTGAAATCACATTTGAAGATGCCTTCTCTCTAAGCTTCAGCATAATTTTAAGTAGAACAATTTTTGTTAGTGTTTGCTAATAATAAGTAACGTAAGAAATGTTTCTAATCAATATAATAAATACAGTACAAACAAGTTACTTAAACTTTCTGACCTCAATTTCCACATGTGAAATGAAGTTACTGGTTCACTGTTTTCCAAGTTTGTGGCAAGGATTAGAGTACCTTTCCTTAGGATGAGCTAAATAAATGGAGTCTATTGTAATAATTCTAAAACGACTTGTATTTGATAGTTTTATTTAAATGCAGTACTATATATATATATTTGAAATAAAAGGATACTATAAATCATGATGAAGTTTTTTCAAAGGATATAAATGAATACTTAATGGTAGATATGCTATTCTTTTTAAGCTTCTAAAAAAGGTATCCTCTTTGTTCTTTGCCCTTGAACACAGTCCATTTTGGGGTAAAAAAAAAGGAAGACATTTCCCTCACTAACCATTATGCTAATTTGGCTAGCAAAAGTCAGAGCTGAAGACTAGAGAGCAAAGACAAGACAGAAAAATTAACAAAGGTTGGACACTTAAATCACAGGAGGGAGTAGACGTGGCCCAAGCTATAGATGTGACAAGGAGAACAGAGGGAAACTCCCACTCTTTCTGCTGTTTTCCAGAAGGGGAAAAATAAAGAAAGGTTCATGATGCCCAAAATTTCCCCCAAAGCTAATTTCCTTAAAAAGAAAAATATAAAATGGTAAATTTATAGCTTTATATGATTTTTAAAAATCTACTCTTTAAGAACAAGCTAAATGCCTGTTTTTTTGGTTTTTAGGGGTTTTTTTTTTTTTACTTTTTAGAAGGAAACAGTGTACTAAGAAAAATATGAAAAATCAAAACCATATTGAAAAATGGAGCTTCGCACATTGAATCAAATATACAAACCAAGGAAGTTATGGTCACCATATTTTGCCATGAGGCTTTGATATCAAAAACAGATCTCCTCATTCCTTGTCTCAACCCCAAAGCCAATTTTTAAAAAATGTAAGTGTGAGAGACTTGGGGAAGATCTTAGGGACAGACGATGCCTCAGAGAATGGGAAGGCTGAAGGTCAGAGACAGATAGATGGCAGGAAAATCCAACTAGGGTAGGGTGCAAAAAGGGTGCTATATACATGAGCACGCTTTTATGTGTGTGTGTGTGTGTGTGTGTGTGTGTGTGTGTGTGTGTGTGTGTGTATGCAATAATTAATCCACATATATAATACAAAATTCCTAAAACTAGGCATTCCACAACTCTACCACCATCATCTCCCTAAATGAGCACAGGACCCAAAGCAGCCACCCCAGTCCTGCCCGAGACAAACTTGAGGAGTGCTCAGAAATGGAATGGTCCAAAGCTACCTGTGGTACATATGGCTTGGCCAATAAGAGAAAAATTTTGTTAGTCTATCACTCTATCAAATGTCATAGCATTATCCAAAAGCAGCCACAACAAGATATACTACTTCTGCTGTGAGCAAATACAATTCTAAATTTATTTTATAGAATATGGCAAAAAATGGAAAATCACACACTCCAGTTACTTACGTCAAATTATACATTGAAGGTTTGCTATAAATGGTGAAGCTTTTCACGATCTGTTTACTCTACATGCTAACCCTACAAAAAAAGGTGTCTGTAAATTACCTCACACTCATTAGACCCCATCGATTAAAGAAAAAAAAAAGCCTCCTTACTGTTTCAGCAGAGGAATCTTCTGGTTCAGGCAAAATGATTGGAAGATTGCTAATAAAGCCAATTTCTCCATTTGCAATGTCCGGAGTAACCACCAAAGAAATATTTCGGATTTCCCCAAATCTAGGACTTACAGGTGGGATTGGGGGGATTATGGTCACCAACTCCACAGTTTCCAACTATAACAAACAAACAAACAAAAATAAAACATTAAAGAACAGAAATTTTAATTTTTTTTTAAAGTCTTAACTGCATGGGGCAACAAAGGAAACATGGATAAAGTCCAAAAATAACTCAAGAAATCCATTCACCTCCGTCTTCATTCTCCATCCTGTTTCAATCTCCTGCACTGGCTTCTTGAGCTCCTTCTGCTCCCTAATTATTATTATCCCACAGGTTTCTTTCTAAGCCCTCGATCTTATAACATTATACCCTCTCCCTTATAATCTCTGGTTCTTTCCTTCAAATTCCAAAACTTTATAACCAACTGCCATTAGAGATGACGTCACACAGACACCTTACAGATAAAATGTCCAAAATAGTCATGACTATCTCTGTTCTATGTCCCCTCCCCAATACCATCACCAGCACCATCCTTCTTGTTGCCTATATTCAACTGCCTTGACCTTAAAGATACCAAGTCTCCTTCTGCTCTTCCACTGGCCCACACCTCCAACCAGTCACCCGCTCCCCTTCTGTCCAACAAAGTTCACTATCAGAAGACCATTTCAACTTCCAATGTGGCTTAACGTGTCTCTATGTTTAAAGAAATTCAACACATGTATAAAATATAATGTCCCTCTAACTAGTGAGCATAATCACCAGAGTAATTTTCATGGTGTCCTCACCTATAATGGCCTCCCCTTCATCATCTCACAAGTGTAAAATATACCCACTCTTAAAGACCAGTTGAATTTCCCTCTCTACCATCAAGATTTCCTTGGATTCACCAGCCCTCTTTATTCTCTTTCTGAACTTCTACTGTTACTTTCACTAAACTTAGACTTAATTATAAGTTTCACATATTGCTTATCATCATTTTGTGTGTTCCAGAACTGTCAGTTCCCAACAAGACTACAGAGCTCCTGTGGGTCTTTGCCCTTCTCAGCATTTTCCCAATACATGACATAGATCTGAAACTGCAGCAGCTACACAATAAATATTTGTTGATTCATCCCTCTAACACAAACTGAGCTCTGTAGGAAGCCAGATATATCACAAACCTTCAGCATCTTAATATTCTAACTTTTCAAAATCCAACTTATCAAGCCTCACAGTGCTCGCTTGAGTGTAGGAATACATAATCATTACGGGACTGCAAAAACGCATAAAGATTTTAAGTTAAAAAGCAATTTGGAACTTATGAGACACTATGGATCTTCCACTCTTTAAAGCCCTGTTAGGCTTTTTCATGTGGAAATGATGCCACTAAGTAACCACCAGTAGCCGTATGATGTAAGTGGGTTTTCCACAAGTGGACAGAACAGGTATGATCCTGCACATACTCACATTTTCTGATGAACAATATACATTCTAAAGGGCAAAAATAAAAGCCTTTTACAAATGTCACATATTTTGCTTTGAAAATCATATACAAGGGCCGGCCGAATGGCTCAGTTGGTTAAGAGCTCACTGAAGAGTTTGAGCTCTGAGCAACAGCGGTTCGATGCCCAGCCCGAGCTGAGCTGTCACTGAGCTGCCAAAAGGTGGCAGGATGGCTCAGCTAAAAAAAAAAAAAAAATCATATATAGTAGAGAGATAAAAAATTCTGTATTTGGTAAACATTCAAGTCAAAGAAAAAATAAGACTGACCAAATTTGCCAAATGTTGGCATATAGATTAAGTCAAATAAAAAATGTGGTTCTTTAGTATATTGCATTTACTTTGTAAAATCAATAAAATGTAAGGTATAGATCCATATAAGTATATATTTATCTTTTAAAATAGCACAAATAATGAATAAAATATATATATCTGAATGGCATATAAATAAAAGTGCATTGTTTGGAAGCAAAGATGTTTTTAAAATACACTGGTCATGCATACGCACATTTGTGAATGAACTCCCCCATGCCCATATAGTCACAAAGCACTAAACTGATAATATTGTTTAAAACATCAAGGGGAAAAACTCAATATATTTTTATTTCAAAACTTTCTTAAAAGAAAGGAAGAAAATAAGTTATATCTTACATTTATCAAAAGAGTTACAGAATTCTAAATACCAAAGCCTTGAAAAACATAAAGAAAAAAGATGTAGAAGGCTATGGAATGAACTGATCAAAAGAAAAATGCTAATTTTACATGGCTTATTTCCTAGTTTCCAAGCCTTTTTGTCTGGGTTCCTTAAGTATCTGCTAAATCAAACTGCTCCATTCATAAAGAGTTGTTCTTTGCTTTCAGGCAGTTTGCAACTGGGACAGCACATTCGTAACCCCAGGCCTGCCAGAAGTTTTATCTCAGACTGATGTATTTCGCTGAGAGGGTGACTAAAGAATGAGGAGCTCACATCTCAGATTCTCCTTTCTTCAGTTTCATTCAGCTTTCCATGCAGAGTCTGATGCCTCCTATTCTTGAGTTGCTCATCCATTATGCACTATACAAACTACACGACCTTCTAATTTCAACCAGCCTTCCAGAGCCTACAGCTGTTTGGAACCTCAAGAAACTGTGTCAGTGACTAATAATGTCTTTTTATTTTCTAAAGTGTTAAATTAACTGTCTGCACAGTACGACCTTTGTTTTTTAACTGAACACAGAGCTAGATGAAGAACTGAGTCTGGAATTAGTGGTGCAAACAGATTTTTAACCCGTGACCACCAAAATTCAGATATTACACGCTTCTTCAAGTGTTTCCTCACTTTTCAAGTGTCGTCAAAAATAAATTCTATCATATTCATATAGCATGCTGAAATAACATAGCTAGAATAATATCTGACCCATAGAAGGCTCTTAATAAGGTTTTGTTTAGATAGGGATTCTCTGCAGCTACTTGGATACAGACACTAAATATTTTAAAAAGAAAAAAAGTTTAATATATAGGTTACTAATGCTGGCATAGATAAAGGGGGTCTGCACCCACAGTAAAAACTGGTTTTGAGGCAGCCTAAGAAATCATAAAGCTAAAACAGAAACAGAAAAGTTCTCCACAACTCAAAATCCACATTTCTGCATCATCAGTTCTCAATCTCACGTCACATCACTGCAACTATTACAGGAATGCCATGATGCCCAGGCCCCCATCAAAGCAAAAGCAACAGTGTCAAATCTTTGATTCTCTTCACTTGTTTTAATAATTTGATTCTCTATGAGTTGTGACCTGTGCAAGATTAGAGACAGACAGAAGGGAGAACTGAATCCTGAGGTATTAGAAACACAAAAGCCTTAAACCATAGGCTATGAATTGAATGTTTATGTCCCCTGAGGATTCACATGTTGAAGCCCTAATCCCCAATAGTGATGGTATTTGGAGATGGGGACTTTGGGAGGTAATTAGGTCATGAGGGTAGAGGCCTCCTGAGGGGATTAGGCCCTGATAAGTACAGACAATAAAAAGCTGGCTTCCTCTCTCGCTCCAGAATATGAGGACACAGCAAATAGACATCAGTCTGTAAACTAGGAAGAGCGCTCTCACCAAAACCCCACCAGGTCGACACCCTGATCTCAGACTTCCCAGCTTCCAGACTGTGAGAAATAAATGTCTGTTGTTTAAGCCTCCCAGTCTACGGTATTCTTTATAGCAGTCTGAACTGACTGAGACAATGAATATTAATGAGAATGCCCTGACTCCAGAGGACACCTATGGCAGAGAAGGCGAAAGAGTGCTGACACTAAAAATAAAAACAAAAAATAAAAACCTCCATTAAACTCTGAAACTTGACAAGTTATTATCTCCCACTGGCTCTTGAAAACTCTTAAGTTTGGAAATGCTGCCCTAAATGAAAACTAGTGAAATCAGCATACATTTCCATATATTAACAGAACCAACTTTAAAAGGTACATTATAGCATGTTTTTGTATGAGGCCGAAATTAAAGCTGTTTTTAGAATTTCTGAGCACATCTCTAAATGTGTCCTGGTGGCAGCACTCTAGTTGCTTTAGCTTCTTGCTCAACAAGGCCAGGGTCACAGGCTTGACACTCGCTCAATTCCACGTCACAGATCCAGATGCCCCACCATCCAGTTTGTCACCTCACAAAAGCATTCCACAGGCCTTGGGGGAAATGAACACAATTGTGAATAACACCATGTTCTGTTCAACCACCACTCCAAAAAAGACAAATTTAAGGGTCATCCAAAGAGTGGATTATCTTCATAGACAGAAGTATGCATCATGTCGTAATTTCATTTTGAGGAGACACACACAAAAAATAATAACAAGATTAGTAGTAATAATAATCAAGATGGAGAACAGGCTCTCCTACCACTATTAGCAAAACCTTTGGGGACACTGGCAAAAGGTCTCCTTCTGGGTAGACATATTATAAAAAGGCATCACCTACATATTGACGAATTAAATATCCCCATGACAAGGATAGATCCCTTCACCAGGAGTCCTCAAGAAACGCACAAACAGTACAAGTACAAGCTGTGACCCAGCTTGCAATAAACAAGAGAGAAGAGTCTTCATAGTGAAAGGGCCCAACCCACCGAGTGCTGCGCAAGGTGGGACACAGCCCTGGGAAATTCAGAATGCAAAGTTGATTAAAACAGAAAACTTTCAGAGATAAAGAGCAAGTTACCTACACAGGTAAATAATTTCCTTCCCCTCAAAATTCTTATTAGCAACTCTGGAAGTTAAAAGATAATACCTTCCATTTTTTTGAAGAAATTATTTTAATCTAGACATCTCTACCAAGCCAAACTGTCAATGTGAGCATGAAATTTCATTTTCAGGTGCTCAAAGACTCAAAAAGTTTACCTTTTCTGCACAAGTATTTGAGGACACATATACTACAATATAACTAAAACACAATTTAAGAAGAAAAAAGCAAGAGATAAAGTAAACAAAAAAGTTCAGTAAAAATGGTACCAAGTAGCAGGTGTGAAGCAAGTGTAGGAAGCAGATAGTACAGGTGAGCTCAACCTTCAACATATATTACACAGATGGAAGATCTAACGTGGTGAGGATAGGATACAAAACGGGGGAATTAGAAACTCCAGAAGAACCAATAATAATCCATAAAACAAGTTTAGGCAAAAATTATGAAACAAATTTAAATATGGCATGATTCAAAAAAATTTATGAAATAATGAGATTTCATTTGATATATATTTCAGTTAGCAAAATGTACAGTGACATAAGATTGTACACTCTTTATCGATCCATTCATACTATATGAATCTGTATTAAATTTATTTACATTACCAAAATTTGATAAGCACCCTTTATAGCTTTCTAGTTTTTTTTTTAATTTTTAGAACCAACCAATAGCAAATGCATGAAAAACATAACCATAGTATCATAAGTGAGTGCAAATGTTTTAAATTTTGACAATAAAAAATAATGTTAATAAAAATTAAAAAATAAAATAGATAAGATGGAAAAATATGGTATGGGGTCCTTTTTATTCTTAAATAGATGAAAACCCAGAGATGCATACACAGTTAATAGACAAAAAAACAGATTTTCTCATACATTATTTAAAAGTGTCTACAGTACACAATTTTTTTTTCATATTGCTTTATTTCTGGAATGAATTCTCCCCAATATCCATCATGCAAAACATATTTATCCTACAAACCCCATTTCTATGTCACATTTTCTCAAATCAACTCAAAAGAATGGTGGATGTCTCCCTTTCCCTCTGTCTGTCTCTCTCTCTCTCTCTCTCTCTCTCTCTCTCTCATTCCTCTCCCATTAATAGTTTGTGAGTTACTTCACTATGCCATCCATTATATTCTGACCTGCATTTCAAGTCTGATGTGTTTTTATTACCACCTGATTAAAATATTAACTTTAGTAGAACATTTGTTTTATTCATCCTTATATGCTTTAGGAGCTAACCATCTCTTTGAACTCCCTAAATAACTTATAATAACCAATAGTAGAATCAAACTATAAATGAGGACAAAAGAATGATTAGCTAACTCTCTCACACAGACAAGTATACATGCAGTTTAAACAAAGTTGAGATTAAACGTCAAATTACCTGTACTAGGAAGTGGGCCCCATTTTGAAGAAATGCATCATTTCTTATTAGTAATTTTGTAGTGACTTGGGTTTTGTGTTCTGGAAAAATGAGATTATTTCCCTTGGATATATTTAGGATGCCATTTTTTGCTTCAGAAGGGTCCACAGCTCCAGCAGGAATATAAAGTGCAGAATAAAACACCCTCACATCTCCTTTAGTTCCTCCTAGTCTTGTAAAACTCAAAGATAAGTATCTTTCACCTGGGCTGCTTTCAATCTTCTGGTTTTCCATAGGAAAAAATGTCAGTAGGCCATAAACATCATCACTATCCTGAATGTAGAACAAAAGCTGTGGATAAAGGAATAAAATATTAAAATGCAGAATTCTCACATCTGAGCTTACCAAACTGTACATTTTCCAGGCTATTCTAATTTTTAATCTTCATTTACAGGTCTAAAAAATGATCACTTCTTATACATACTAGAGTAGTAGATAAATCAAAAATAGATTTGAAAACCTTCATAATTTATAGTTTGTAGAATTTTTTTAAGAATAAAGTTTTTATTTATAGACAGGACAACCTTGATCAAGCAACATCACCATCATTTCCAAAACCAGCATTCTCCCGGTCACATCAAGCTAAAATAAATGTGATTTGTATAACCAAATTATTTGGCTCTTGTAGAGCACAGAAATATTCACACATGAATAAAGTATAACAAGAGGTCTACCTCTGCTGGTTCGCTCACTTCTGCACCTCCTCGTATTGAATGAGGAAGAATCTGAAGTAGATAACCTTCTGCCTCTTCTGGAAAATCATCATTAACAACAGTAAGAGGAACTGATGCCAACATTTGCCCTTGTGCAAAATGGAGCACTCCAGAACTTGGTCTGATGTCTGTCTCTACCGGTGAGGGATCACTGCTATTCCGTGTCAATACCCACTTCACAGAAACATTCCCATGGGTGCCACCATTTCTAACCACTGTAATGTCTTCAAATCTAGAATTTTGCAAAAAGAAATATATGCAGTCATAAAATACACTCTATTTTGGATAGACTTTTCCACTGACAGGTTGGCCATCAGACACTGGTAAAGCAGAATCCATATCATAAAGAATGATTGTTTTTAATCTGATAGAGTTGATATATGGATGTGTCTTAGGAAACTACCATAATAGGAATTAGCTTGCATATTTAAATCACTCCCAAAATAAGAAATAAAACAGTGAGACCTTTATAGAGGAAATGACATATACTCTTTAAGAGTTCCACATTGTGTTCAAGACTACAAACATAAATCTTGGAATAACATATTAAAATAATTGTAGCAACAGGTTTAAAATAAACCATACCTTGATGTTGTATCTTCATCAATTATAACTGTCCTTTCAAACAAGACACTGTTGAATGAGAGGACTCCATAAGGTTTGTCATTTGGCTTAATGGTGACTTGTACAATAGAAGGGCTTAGTAGCACAGCATCGCCCCGTAAGGTATCTTTTAGTAACATAATGTGAAATGATTCAGCAATCTCTGGTATGGTGTCATCAACTATCTGAAACGTCAGGTGTGATTCATGAATAAAAGGTGGAAAAACAATAGTTGTGTTTGGCTGAAGATCAATGAAGTCTAAATTTTGCTGGGCATGTGCTGTTGAATTCCCAGTTATAATAACATAACTGATCAAAACTTCATATTCATCAGATCCAATCAGGTTTCCATTGTCATCTTTTCCACGAACCACTGGAATCATGAGTATATGGTCTTCTTCGGGTACCAAATAAACACTCTGAATGAATCTCACGGGACTATCATTTTTCTTAATGACAATCTCAATGGAGCTCCTAGAGGTGTTGATCTCAGCTCCTCCTTCTACACTTTTCAGTTGAATCAAAAATATTTCATCATTTTCTGGTACCTGACAAAGAAATATAAATGGTGGCAAAACATCAACAGCCAAAACTTACCTGCAAAAATATCAAAGTGTAAAAAGTCACTATGTTTCAATATATTATAATTACATAAAAATAAAAATAAAAAAATCTTTAACCGAAGGAAGCAGATAGGAAATATTTACTAAAATATTTTCCAATGGTAAATAATATATTTTAGATAGGGAAGGAAAAGCTCATAAAGCAATGGTATGAACAGGTAATGAAGAATAGGTGTAATATCTTTCAACGTTGATCAATCTTTAGATAACGCTAAAGATCTGACAGTAAAATGAACATATATTCTTAGTAGTTTTATCAGGTTGGTAGGGTCAAAAGTATCATTCAAGGTCAAATAATGTTTAAGAATCTGGAAAACTACATAAAACATCACGTACAAATCATTAGTTTTCAGTTGTGATTTATTCTTTCTCTCTAAATGGTTTCTAATTCAAGAGCTAACCATATGATATCAATCATATGATTTCCAAAATATACATATTGCCTCCCTGGAGAACAAGCTGTGAAAGTCACTATTAGGAAAATGTTGACATTGTTAAAACCTTCTTTTTTTGGTAACTGCACAGAATTCCTAGGGGTAACCTCCATTGTGCTGTTTGAGCTTTTCCTTCACTATAAATTTTATTTTATGAATAAAAGTGAAAAGATATGTTTTTTTACTTCAATTAATAGCAATATAAGAGGCAAAGCTATGTATCTCAAAAAATAAAATATTATTACTTGATTACTGATCTTTGTCCCCCAACTTTATTGAGGAATACTTGACAACTACTCAAGTGTACAACATGATGATTTGAAATACATATACGCTGACAATGATTACCAAGTTCAAGATAATTAACACATCCATCAGCTCACGTATTCTACTCTTTGTGTGCGTGTTTATGGTGAGAACATTAAGATCTATTCTCAGCAACTTTCAAGAATACAATACCATAATTATTAGTGATAGTCACCATGCTGTACATTAGATCCTCAGAAGATGCTCTTTTAAGTTTACAATTAGAGTATATAAATAATCATTGCCCCAAATTATAAGCTTTTCAATGTTCTAGGATCTCAAAACAAATGGCTTTTGTTAGCTTCCAGAACCAGATGAACTGAAGTTAACACTACTACCTAACATATTTTTTTCAATAGGACCACTCTTTTTTAATGATGTCTTCTAATTCATTAACCTTTTCTCTTGGGACTTTTTGTGATTCGTTTTCATGATTTCCTTATAGGAAGGTAGAGGGATGGTTATAAATTCCCAGCTATTAACTTTTTTTTCCTGGCAATAATTTTTTTTTTAAAGTCATTTTTCTCTTGTTTAGCTCATGGAGGATATACCCACACATTACTGTTCAAATTCATTCTTTCCTTAGCACTACAACTAGCTGTGTCTATATCTCAAATGTTGGTAGCTTCAATGTGAAATATAAAACTAACTAAAGCCTTCTTATGAATGGGAACATTTAAAATATCCAAATAAAGCAATATCAATTACAGTAGAAATTTCTTTGCTTTTATAGTAAAATATTTATGCTGGATAAGTAGTACTGTACCTGCTCAAAGCTGAAATCACTAACAAAAATCAGTCATCATACAAAATGCTTAAATTTTTGTAGTATATGTGGCTGCCAGTTATATCCAGGTTCACCAGCTTTTAGATACACAATTTAATGTGAATTCAATAACATAAATATTAACAAGATATATTCCAAAATAGCAATTTATAGCTAGAGTATGACTTGCCACAATGACTATGTTCTTAAACAATTTCAAATACTGAACATAAATTAATCCTTGACATAATGTTCTCTAGCATGTCTATAATGCAGAGTCCCTGTCCCACTGAAATATTTAACATTATCCCACCTCATCATCAAGTACTGTCAAGTTATAAACCACTGTTGCTCTGCCAGGGGGAAAGGTGATATTTCCTTTAACTGGACCCAAATCTTCTTCTGGTGAATTAGGGCCACCCTCTACCTGTAAAGAAACACACAGTGCCATCGATAAGTACAAAATATTTCACAAGAGTAAAAAAGCATTATTGTGATGTCAGCTGACAAAAAGCTGAAGTTTACTTTAAAATGTTTTACAAGAATTATACTAACCTGTATGAAAGTCTCCCCTTGTAATTAACAGCCATGGCCTACAATTACAGATCTTGACTATAATTACATTAAACAACACGGTTTCTAAGAGCTTTCTCTTTTTTCTCAACCATTGTATTAAACCTGAGGGGAAAAAAAACTTACATGTTTTCTTAAGAGGGAGGTATACAAAATGAGTAAATTCTCTTAAGTAATGGAGTCAAGTACCAGTTCCACCATGGACTGTGTAACCTTGGGCAAGGTATTTAACCGTTCTGTGCAGCATTTTCTGCATCTCTTAAATGAGCATAATAATATCTTCACAGATTAGATATGAAGATCTAACAAAATGATCCTTTTTGAAAAGTATTTACTACATACTCTGTGTCCGCCCTCTTTTAAGAACTGAGGATACAGTAGTGAACAAGGCAAACGCCCCACCGATCAGGACGTTACATTTAATGAAATGGAACAAATGATACATAAATAAATGTGTTATGTGGCAAATGATAAATATTATGGAGAAAAAAAGGGCATAAGGGAGACTGAGAGCTGAGAAGAGTTGCTGTTTCCATGCAATGACAATAGCATCAGTCTAAAGCACTAGAACAGTATATGGCAATATTAAGCGCTCCACAAATGTTAGTCATCACTATTTCAACAAAACAAAAGGCTCAAGGCCCACTAAAAAACTTCAGACATTCATAGTGAAGTTGAAAACACTATAACTGATGATTCTTTCCTTACCCTTTCCTTATACAGCCAATTTTGTTCCAGTTTTCCCCATATTTGTTATCAAATATATTTTCAATTATCTAAGTACATATTCCTGAATACATGAAATATTGCTTAAAGATTCCTGTAAAGAGCTTGCAAGCCTACTGCATATTTAATTAGTATTTACTAAGTTTTTCATGCATTATTGCCTTATGTGATTTTATTTTCTTATGTAATTAACATAACCATCAGATGTAGGTCCACATGAGCTCAACTAGAATTATGTTCCATAAATCCAATTATCCATTACATTCATATTATAATTAATAATTAAGAATGTAAATTATCCATTACATTCATATTATAATTAATTAAACTGGTGTCAGAGCTTTGTGATGTTTTAATGTTTGAAAAATAGCATATGATCATGTTCAGGATCTTTATAAAACACAAATATTCGTTGGAGATTTAAAATATGTATCTCATAGAACAGCAATATGGTAACACAATGGTAAGCATGTGATCAGTAAGCAATAAAATGGAATGGTTACAGCTAACACCCTAAAAATTGCACCTCACCCACAGCCTATCTTATTCATGTCAAATGTTATAACATCTATGAACCTCCATGGTGGAGTGTGGCTGCTGTTAACACCATCCAGTAAGTGTATTTTTTAAAATGGGGAATACAAATGTGGGAAGACTACATATTAAATAATTTTATATAAGCCTAAGTAGCCCATCGGCATTTTAAAAATGTATATCCTTGAAAAGGCTTATCATAAAGGTTCTATAAGTTTTATAGAATTAACATTATTAGTATTAATATCAGTATTAGTATTATTATGGCATTTTGTGGTGTATTATTACTCTGCACCTAAAATAATACATTGTGTTCCATGTAAGCACAGTAAGCAAGGAAAACGTTTTTAAACTAACCATGAAATTTATCAGATAATAAAAGTATTTCCTTTTCTTTCATTTTTATTAAGGGTCACATTTATTATACAAAGGACCTTATTTTTAAAATTGTAGCCATCTGGTATGAACTCTAGAGTGTTATCATTTAAAATGATTTCAAAATAAACTTACCTCAAAAGTCACGGCGACCATTCCATAGGTTCCTTTTTCTCTGATGAGAGTAAGAGGCACCAAGTCATTCCTGCCCCGAGGCTCGCTCACTGTGACTGAGGAAGGCTATAGGGAAGAGGAGACCATCAGGCACCGGTCACTAAGCGGTAAGAGGCGGTGCCATCACCTTAAAAATACTACATTTCCACTAACAGAGCAATCCACATCGTACTCTTAAGAATGTGGTATTTCCTAGCATTAATTCACGGTAGCTAATAAAAAGCACTGACAAGGTTAAAAATAACAGTATAAAGGGAAGACAAAACTAGTCAGGCAAAAGCCATAGGTTCTTGTCCTGGTTCTACCATCAACTAGCTATTCTGCTGAGGAATATTAAAGGTTCTCTAGTCGAAAAATGACAAACTCCAATGCTCACTGGGACCCAGGTCACAGAAATGTGTTGTGCCTCGAGACTAGGGCAGCTCATGGGAACCACCATTTGGCCTTGCTCCCGACCACTATCCTCTCCTCACCGGTCAGCTCCCCACTGAAAAGCAGACAACTGTTCCTGACTTTTTCAGGTCCTGACCACTGAGAGGAAGAAAGAGCCAGACTTCCAATGTTGAAACGTGCTGGCTTGGCTGGCTAAAATTTGGCATAGAAGAGGACGAAGAGGGAAGTGGCCAGGTGCACACTAACTAGGGCAGCGGTACCCACCTTTTGGGGTGACAGCATCCCCATTTACAAATGCTTTCTATTTTGAACTGTTGTGCTGTCGGAAAAAGTCATGACGAATTTGTTTTATGTTTTTCGTTGCAAAAATGCATCATGATTTTTCCGACCACTCAATATGTTTCCATTTGTTGTCCTGAAGATAGTTTTTATAACTCAACATTTGTCTAGTCTTATAAATAAAGAGGATTTTTAAATATGTTCACTTTAAAAAAAAAATCCTTTAAACAAATCAGTATCAGGTTGGTGGTGCATGCAGAGGAAAGGCAGAAGGGAGGGAAATAAAGCAAGTAACAGAGCCTGCTTCATAAATAACTAATAATTTCCTAACATTCAAATAGAAATACTAATTAAAATAATTTCTGTAAATTATGATATAGTGTAGGTTACAAAATGTCTAATTTATGTTATTCACATATAATTTTTAATAAAGATACTGCAGTTATAGAGATCATATTTATCTATAGCCCACCTTATTTCAAAGGCAATCTAAGGTATTAAGAAAATTACATACAATACGCCAATTGCAGTAGCATTCCAAATTGGAAAATAAATGAAAAGCTGAGGAGCATCACATCATCTTTTAATAATGACAATTAGTATTTTGATTCAAAAGTTTCCATATCACGAAGGTTATTGTAGTCTAACACTTAGTGGCAAAATCCAATGGTATTCAAGATAAATTTTGTTTTATTTATTTTAAGAGCTGGAAACAATTTCTCTCAAGGAGGGATCTGTCTTATGTGTTTGTGTCTAAAGATAAAACCGGTTCTGTGAACATAGGACTAGCCAGGGACACAGGAATTCGGTGATAAGGAAGAAAAAAAATGAACTGCTGAGAAAAACTGAAGCTAATGACATGGAGTTTTAACCTTGAGGTGCCAGCTGAGTGGCTCAGTTGATTAAGAACTCGCTCAAGAGTGCGAGCTCTGAGAAACAGGGTTGCCAGTTTGATTCCCAGCCCAACCTAAGCTGCCACTGAGCTGCGAACAGGTGGCAGGATGGCTCAGCTGAAAAAAATAAAAAATATTACACAGTGGAATAAATCCAGGGTAGGAAAAAATCCAGTTGACTACAGATATTTTAAGTTCTGTAATGTCTGTTATTCAATTTTAAGTTTACTATAGTTTTTTTTTCAGTATTCTTTCAATATGTTTTTCTCATCTCCAAGTCATTCTAATCTTTCAAAGGAGGCTGAAAGACAATGCTTTCTTTAAGGGGCAGTTGGGGAAATCAAGCAAAAGGAACTGGGTTACAACGTCTGCTACAGACTGAATGTTTTTGCCCACCCCCGCCCAAATTCATATGTTGAAATCCAAACCTGCAATGTGATGGTATCAGGAGGTGGGGCCTTTGATAAGATGATTAGGTCATGAGGGTGGTAGCCTCATGAATGGGATTAGTGCCATTATAAAAGGGACTCGAGAGCTCCCTTGCCTTTTCTGCCATGTGAGAACACAGTAAAAGGATAGCCGTCTGTGAGCCAGAAAGTGAGCCTTCACCAGACATCAAATCTGCTGATGCCTTGGTTTGGGACTTCTCAGCCTCCACAACGGTGAGAAATAAATCTCTGTTGCTTTCAAGCCACCCAGTCTATGGAATTCTCTTATAACAGGCCAAACCAACTAAGACAACATCTGAGTTAGAGACCACCAAAGGCGGTAACAAATAAAACAGGTGGAATGATCAGCAGCAAAAGATTAGGATGAGAAACGACCATGATCGTACTGGCCTCCTCAATTCAAAAGAAATCTTAGGTAGAACAAATGGACAGTCTACAAAATGTGGAATACGGATGGAATTAGAGCACATTTTATTTAAGTATCAAAAGACAATGATACCAGGTAACATCATGACAAATACTCAAAATATTAAACTATTGTCTAGCAACCACAAGATTAATCAAATTGTAACCATACCATATTAAATGAAATAATTCCAAATGCGTTGTCATTTGATAATATTGTCACAGTAACAGTCCTTGGCCATCCAAGCCTCACGTTTGCTGAAGGTTTCTAAAATAAAATAATAGGTTAAGAGTAAGAGGAAAGAATAATCATTTTAGCAGAATTTCTGTCTTTAAGTAATTATTCAGAATATGAATAAAAACAGAAGAATACTTTTAATGCACCAATTAAGAAAATATATTCAAACTAAGTCAAGATGGCAAAAAAGTTCCCAACAAGAATTCTTCAAAAAAGTTTTGAAAATCATTAATCAGTATTAAAATATAAATTACTATAATTAAAAGTAATCACTGGGTAATAATACTATATGTATTATAATTACTATAATCTCATTACTAATATGACATAGAATTAAGCAGTATGAAATTCTATTCCAACATGATTCTTTTCTTACACTATAGAAGGTGCTGAAATTTAAGAATTAGTTATTACATAAATCATAGAGCCAAATTAAAGAAAATACTAAAAAATATTTTTCTAATACATGTGGGACAGTTGTCTGCAGCATTCCTACTGCTGTTCAACAGCAGCATAAAGGAATATAGAAAAAAAAAGTGTACAAAAGCAAAACATGACAGTTTCAAGTACCATTTTTACAAAAATTTTAATCATGCCAATATACGTAATCATTCTAGAAAAAATTCTCAATGCCCTTCAGAAAAACTAACTAGAGTAGTGTTAGCAAACATTGCCTCAACCTAACATATCAACCAATAAAGGACAATTAAATCTTAAGCTATTCAAGCCTTCTTCCCAAGGGTACTCTGAATTTATTCTAAGGTTCAAGGACCTCCCACTTCCATGCCTGCTTTTTGTATCCTTCTCCTTTGAACTCTGAAGTCACAGTCGTTCTTTGTGCATCTGGTAGCATGGGAAAGATAAAAAGAGAAAAGGGCCAAAAAGGGAAGACAAGGTTTTCTTGAGCATCTGTCATGGCAATTCCTAAATAAGCTGAATGGACCCAAAAACTAGCTATAGGATCTTCTAAACAAGATTGTCTAAGGAATAACCAGACCGTGAAATTGCCAAAGAGGTTTGCAGTTCTGGCTTCTGTGAAAACTACCACGGGTCACCTAAATTGGCTTATCTCTATAGAAATAGATTTTTAAGTGTTGCAAGATTTTTATGACTTTAAAGTTAAGGGGTTCGGGGGGAGAGAAGCATTTACCTGTAATGTTAAGTGAAAAATAAAAGTTTCATCAGGCTCTGGTAAGTCATCATCACATACTGCTATGTACACTGTCCTATTTGTTTCTCCAACAGGTATAAAAGCTGCAGCATATGTGTCAAAAAAGTCACCAGTGTCATCTCCATGTAGCTATCAAACACAAAGTATAGAGAGTTCTTACAATGTTAGGACAGGCCAAATTGATGCTAATTGGAGCAAATCAACAGAAAAAACATGAATCAAGTGAAACCAGTGTTTACAGACAGGATATACAAAAACAAGTATTTAACAATGGATAAAAATCACCTTCAAAAACATTATAAAAGAAATGATTCTACACAAAAACATTTGCTTGTGCTCTGGAAGGAAAAGGAATCATTACATTAAAAAGTAATAATTATAAAGGAATGATGTGAATACTTTCTTCTCTGCCTCTTGATTGATCTAAGGTGGATTACAGCAAACCTAACAAGACAAATTATAGCTAAAACTATATAGTTATATATATACACAAAGATGGGTAAAGGTAGCCTGCCAAAATATATTAGGAGAATCAATTATTTTCCCTATCAATTTCAAAGAAACTGCTCTTTCCAAAACTTTGAAACCTGAAGTTTTATTTATATTCTCCCACAACACCAATAAAGACCCAAATATTTTAGCATTCCAAACTTATTAGTCATTATAAACTTTTCCTTAACTTTTTAAGACCTCACTATGTAATATTAGCATTGCTAATAAGATTTTCAAGGGAACGATAATCATATTGTAGTTATAAAAAGCAACTTCTTATGCAAATCTAAATGAGATTTCTTTTTCCAAAGAACTCAAAGTGAATAACTTAGCTACTAGAATAAAACTATGATTTATTACGAATAAAAAAGGACATGTATAGTTAATTTTTAATCTTCATTTATAAAAATCAGTTAAGATTTAAATACTTGAGAAAATCAAGTAAGTTGTCAAGGGTATTGGAAAACTTGTGGTACCATATTTTAGAAAGTATTAAATATCAAGAGCCACTGAAACAAAAGGAAAAAACACTGTAACCCAGTCCCAAAAAATCATTTAACAACCCAAAACAGGCAAAAATTGACAGGTAAACAAATTCATCAGAGAAACATTTATAACAGCAAAAATTGGAAGCAACCTCAAGGAAAAACAATTGAGGAATGATTGAGAAATAATGACACACCAGGAAAATGACACATCAAGAAAAGTTGTGGGGGCCGGCTGAGTGGCGCGTTGGTTAAGAGCTGGCTTGCAACGCCAGAGGGCCCTGGTTCGGATCCCACATAAGAGGGCCAGTGACACTGCCCTCTACAGCTAAGATGCTGAACAACAGCTCAACCAGGAGCTGGGCTGCCGTGAGTTGCCGGCAACGGCAATAGGCTGCAGCCCCTGTTGCCATGGGTTGCCATGGGCTACAATGTATAGCCAGCAGCCAGCGTGAGTGGCCAGCGGCCACTGGCCTCTGTGAGTGGCCGTCCAGAAGCCCGCGACTGATCTGCCTCACCCGGGAAGAGAGCGATGATGGTGCCAACTTGGGCCACTGAAACAACGTCCTCCACAACTAGACTGAAGAACAAAAGGACAGCAACTTGTCTGTTCCCCTTCCCCCAATTCCCCAGCGCTGTTCCCATCCCCTAATTCCCCACTAAAAAAAATTTTTTTAAGTGAAAATGATAGAGCAACCTGAGAAAATTATGAAGATATATGCAAAATTATAATGTAAAAGATTATCAAGTAAAATATATACTCAAGCTAAAAATGAATTCAACAAATATACATGTCATAAATTTAAAACTAAAAGCAATGCACAAAATTATAATATTGGATTTGTTTCATAGTTTTTTTTTTCTTGTTTCTTTTCACAGTGTTTCACAATGTGATAATTTAACCTATTGCTTAAAAACTTATTTGTGAAAACAAAAATTTCAAGTACATTGGGCCTCAAATACAGCCAGATCCTTAGTCGTCACATGCCATTACTTTCTGGTTAAACATAAACACAGATGCACACAGAATTCATCCAATAATTACACTGTGTGCAAGATGAAGCCTGCAATAGTTTAACAAATTCTACCTAACTTCTACTTCAGCTAACCTATCTAATTGCTCCTAAAAAAGGAGCTCTCTGACATAACTAAGGGTTTTTTAATTGCATTTTTCACTTTTAAATATTTTATATATTGGGTCGTCGGGAAAGTCATGATGCATCTTTGCATTGAAAAACACATCATGACTTTCCTGATGACCCAATATTTTCTTAAAGTCTCCTAACAACAGATAACATAACCAAGCAGAGATAACTAGAATTCAAACTATGTGAAATAAAATGTTCTTTTACTTAGAAATACTTGATATTTTTGTTTTTTTAAAATAAATATATGAACATTTAAAAATAGTCAGTCTATATCTTAAAAATACTATTATTGTCAAATGCACATGCTACCTTAATATACAACTACTTAGAATCTCAAACAGTTTAAAAAAAATTCTTGTCACTGAAAAAGAAATTTCATATCTATTTCAGTAAGAGTAGAACTATAATCATTTCTTACCGATACGATTGCAGTGACATTTGCTGGCTCTCCTATCCTTTCGATGACTAGACGAATAACTGTTGTACTTGTTTCATTAACTATAAATTCTGTTTGTCTGGCAAACCTTATTTCTGTTTCTCCCAACACAAAAGAGATGAATAAAGCTGAAAGAAGATTTACTAATAAAGATGCAGAGGGCATCCCTGTAAGAGAAAACAAAAGGTTTTGTTTACAAAACATATCTAACATTCTCATTAGAGTGTTTTGTCTACAGATATAGAGTGAAGCTAGACAGTAAGCACCTAAGAGATAAATACATCAAATATTAAGCCATCAATTAAAATGTGTAATCACAGAAATAAATTAAAAATCCCAAACTTTCTATGGTTTTCTTTTGCTATCCATAACTACTTTTTGTTCTTTAACTTTTATATTAAGATAATAGTTATAACAAGCTTTAAACTTATTTATTAAATTTAGTTTATTAAAAAAATTTGACCCTTCAATTTATTTTAAGAAAAACCTAAACAGAAACATGGAAACAAATTAAAGCCCATCTTCCCCCAAATGATACTGTAAACTATTGTACAAGCAAAAACTAAAAACAGTATCAAATGAATCAATAATCTTAATAGAACTTATTCATCTATTTGATGATCAAACAAATACAAAAGAACTCTTGAAACTGGTATATAAAGTAGTTGAAACTAAAACTTTATAAATAAGTTGATTTCTTAGCTGTGTCTACTTTTTCCTTAAATGTGTTGTATTTGAGAATGCTTTTTAAGATTTTAGTTATTGCAAAAAAAATGCTAATCCTTTCAAAGCACACAAATTTCCAGGACTTTAATTTCTCCCATTTTATTTACTAAGATACTAACACCGCTTCTTAGAAAATGACCACGTTGCTTTAAAAACAAGCAAATTTGACAAAGTGTGTATTTCCATAACTTCGGTTGCGTTCTTCTTGCCACAATGTGCATGTTTGTGAGTCATCAATATTGTTCCTACTTTCAGCACTGTGTGAATCAATTGCTTTCAAAAGCACAACAGTGCACTGGCCTCTTGAAAGCACTGTTTTGTAATGTAGATGTACCTCTAAAAATGTGAACAATTTATCTCACGGATCATTAAAATTCCAATGGATTATGTGATCGGTCACACGAAAGTAACAAGTTCATACGTGTTAAAGAAGAGTTGCATTATGTACTCTATGAATCAAAATGCTTCCTATTCATTTTTACCTCGGTCAAGAAGTAATAAAATTTTCATGTATGTGATAGTTCCACGTGGCTACACATGGCTTTATAGTTAGAAACCACCAAATACATGTGATTGGTATAATTTGGGGTTTAAATGCAATTTTCTCAGCCAAGTATATTCAAACTATGGAGTCTGAGATTGCTTAATAACGTCTCACATGCCATGAATGCAGAGTTCAGATGGAGTCCAGGAAAGAGGAAAACAGACTCTGGAGGACTAGGGAATTTTTTACACCTGAGCCTTCTAGCTCAGAAAGCAAGCCACGGGGCTAAGGGTCTTGGGAAAACAATGAAAATATTCTCCCTCACCAGCTGCTAACTTCCTTGACTTCTAAGCCAGGAACATTTATCAAAAGGAAGAAAATTTAAAATATGAGCGAGAGAAGGAAAAAGGCAAAATTTGGGTAAGGCAGTAAATTGAGAGCAGTTCTGGGCTAAACTAAAGACAACTGAAGAAGATCTTGTATGGAATTCTAAAGCCAGAATGATTTCACACCTCATTTATGACAAATAGTAGGAAAGCCGTGAACTAGGGATGAGAAAGAGCAGAACACGGGTGAGGAGGTAGCAACCTGGGCCTTGGATATGTAAGAAAAAGATCAACTATGATCTATTGTGATTTGGAAAGAAAAATCTCAATTCCTTGAACATTAGATGTGATAGATTCTTGAGCTGAGAGAAATAAGAGACCTCTGAAAAAGTTCTAAGTGAGAAAGAGTGAAGGTGAGCTTCACCATGAGAAAGGGCATTCATGAATGACTGGGAATACAAGTTCTCAAAATTTGTCCTGCATAAGAACCAACTGAGACCTTTGTTAAAATTCATATTCTCACACTCAGAAATTCAGATCCAGCAAGTTTAGTTTAGGGCCCAGGAATGTGCACTTAACAGGCAGCCTGGTTGATTCTAATGCAACTGATCCTTGGGATACACTGAAAAACACCAGCCTAGAGTATGAGAGCGTGTGAGGGTTCTAGAGTGAACATACAATAGACCACATTTGTAGCTTTAAGTTAATTACTGAATTTTTCAACACAATACTCTTGAACTTACTGCAGACTTCCTCATATATTTTTCTACATATTACTATACTGCCTTTTAAGAGTCCTTATATCCTAAAGAAAAACTATAGTGACCCATAGAAAGTAATCAGAATACCAAATACTTAATATAGTGTTACTCTAGGTCAGCGGTTCTCAACCTGTGGGTCGCGACCCCTTTGGGGGTCGAACGACCCTTTCACAGGGGTTGCCTAAGACCATCGGAAAACAAAAAGATATTTACATTAGGATTCATAACAGTAGCAAAATTACAGTTATAGAGTAGCAACGAAAATAATTTTATGGTTGGGGGTCACCACATGAGGAACTGTATTAAGGGGTCGCGGCATTAGGAAGGTTGAGAACCGCTGGTCTAGGTACTTTATATACAATAGCACATTTCATCTTCCCAACATCTCCATGAAGACGGTGCTAGAATCATTAACTCCCTTTTATAACTGAGCAAACTAAGAGACAGATTATTTAAATCAGGCAGAGTTATTTAGCTAGGCAGATGGCTAGGCAGGATTTGAACCCAGGAGTCCACCTTCAGACTCTCTACCCAATGACCATACTATAGTGCCTCTTACGTTTTATTTCTACAAATCATATATCTCCAATGTGAATAATATGGTAGACTGTTTATGCTACATGCTTCCAAGCATTTGAATATTTTATACTCATGCACAATAACCAAAACTACCATAGAACTAATTATGAGTTTCCTAAAAGGTTGCACCTTATTCTGATGAACATTACATTCATTTAACTGAAACTACAGTTGTATTGACTACTTTAAATATTTAACAGCATCTTTTAATGTCAGGACCAATGAGCTCCAACGGTGTATTCTAGCAGTTTCCCAGGCAATTAGAGCTCCAAGATCTTGTGGTCAAGTCAGTAAATTTATTTTAAATTAACAAGCATGATTGGAAATGCCTCAAATTCTGTGACATCATCGATAATTGAATCTCCTCCGCTTTCATCTTTTCAACTTATAAAAAAGGTTGAGGCAAAGCTGGCATTCAAAAGAAATTAAGAGATGAAGAAAACTCTGAAAGTGAAGTTCCCATTAGAAGATAGGCATAATTACACAAATACTGAATAGTTTCATTTTCAGAGTAACTAGGTACATTTTCCTCTTTCATACTAAAAATCTAGGCTTTGAAACTCCGTTTATTAAACTCAGAAGTCTAGGCAATAGTAATCGACACAACACTTAAGTCTTATATCTATTCCAGGTCACTTTTTTCTCTCATTAGATTTAATAAATGTTTTATGACCCATCAGACCACGTATTTTAAAACTCGATAAAATGAATTTCAAACATGCATTTAAAGACCATAATGTGTTTAATTTATCGTCTGTCACAATTGTGAAAAAATTATTCTAGCATTGAGTCCTTCCTCTACTTTGTAATGGTATGACAGTCCCATATTCAAATCCTCTCATTTTCAACTACCACCCACATTCTCCTCACACTTCCCACTTTCTCAGTATGATTCAAAGGAAAAGAAAACTGCTCCTGCCAATGAATCTCTTACCTCTTAATAGATCTCTTATTGTGTTAAAACAATGAGATCTAGATTACCTTCTTGCTTGTTTCCTAAATTACACTATGAAGTTATTTTTTTTTATTTTTCAATTGCAGTTGACATACAAAATTACATTAGTTTCAGGTATATACCATAGCGATTAGACATTTATATAACTTATGAAGCGATCACCGAGATAAATCTAGTACTCATCTAATACCATAGTTATTATAATATTATTAACTATATTCCCTGTAATACTTTACATCCCCATGGCTATTTTTGTAACTACCAATTTGTGCCTCTTAATCCCTTCCCCAACTCACCTACTCCCAAACCCCTACCCATCTGGCAACCATCAAAATATTCTCTATATATACGAGTTTGTTTCTGTTTTGTTTTTTGTTTTGCTTTTTTAGATTCCACATATAAGTGGAATTATATGGTATTTGCCTTTCTCTGACTTATGTCACTCAGCATAATACCCTCTAGGTCCACCCATGTTGTTGCAGATGCAATACTTCATTCTTTTTTATGGCTGAGAATGAAGCCACTACTTGCATATATGTACCACTACTTCCATTGATGGACATTTAGGTTGATTCCATATCTTGGCTATTGTAAATAATGCTTGGTTATTGAAAATAATATATAGATGCATATGTCTTTTCAAAATAGTGTTTTGGGTTTCTTCAGATAAATACCCAGAAGTGGAATACTGGGTCCTTCTTTGCCTCTTGTCACAGCCTGTTTTAAAGTCCCCTTTGTCTGGTGTAAGTATTGCTACTTCAGATTTTTCTTTTCATTTCCATTTTTATGAAATATCTTTTTCCATCCCTTTACTTTCATTCTGTGTGCATCTTTCGATCTGAAGTCTCTTATAGGCAGCATATGTAAGGATATTGTTTTCTTATCCATTCAGCCACCCTATGTCTTTTGATTGGAGCATTTAATCAATTTACATTTAAAGTGTTTGTTGATAGATGTGTAGTTATTGCACTTTTATTATTCTTTTTTTTCTTGCTTCTTCTTTTTAAAGAAGTCCCTATAACATTTCTTACAATACTGGTTAAGTGGTGATGAACTCTTTTAGCTTTTTCTTGTCTAGGATATATTATTAAGTTTTGATAGAGTCCTGATAGCATGGGAGCACAAAGTCTTAGGTTCTTGGATTCTAGTAATCATATTCAACCTACTCAATAAATCACCCAATACTGTAAAAAAAATATAAAGATTTAAATCAGGATTACATTAGAGTTGCTCCTACAATGCAAATTGGTTGCTTGTAGAAGAGCAGCTTACATTTTACTATAATATTTGTATACTGAGCACCTACTCTGCATTGTGCAACCCCTTATGCTAATCG